CGATGGTGGAGTGAATCGTATGACAGGCGAGAGCTCTGATGGCAACGAATCCATCGAATCGTCTCTCATATAGTTTATGTGATTCGCTGTTTGCGGACACAAAACAATTGTCATTCATGTGTGGATCGGCTGACAGCGGAAGACATACCTGTTTGCAAATGAGCGCAACATTTGGTGATAATATACGTGAGGTGTAGACCAATGAGGAGAAGAGTGGCCACGAGTGACGACACCGTGCAGTGTGTTTGGGATGTGGTGTTAGTCTTCATCATGTGTTGCAGTGTTGGAAGTGTTGGAAGTGTTGAGTGATGTGACAGTGCTTTGCATTACACGCGCGGACACAATGAGGCGGTCATTGAATGGCAACTATTAATCACAACAAACACTGATTGTTGAGTCAATCCTAACGTTAAGGCATTCAATGAGACAGTGATTGAGTCAAACACAACACAACACAACACTTACAACACATTCGCAGCCTTTTTAGCACACATTCGAACAAAACAACAAATGATTACGCAATACATGGCATACCGTTTGGCGCGCGCTTCGAATCGACGCGCACTCGAGTCAACACAACTCGCGATGCAGTCATTAATTCAGACCATTATTAGTGTTGACAACACGTGACCACTAAATGGTCACCAAATCTATGCAAACATTGACTCATTTATTATAATTACAAAACAATTGAATGTATAATGAATTGAATAATAGACAAGTCGTGGGAAGCGATGCCTGCGTTAACACAACGCACAGGTCTTGGAGTCGGATTGGGAACCGCTGTCGGCCTCACGTTTGGCCGAAATGACGGCCATTTTGGCGACACTTCTCCACGTGTTGTACGGCTGTCGGCGAGCGTTGGGAAGCGTTTGGGCCACTCGTGAGGGCAATCGGTGGACACGTTTGAGACAGTGCTGAGTGCGGGCGTCGGCTATGATTAGGACGACGAGTGAGCCGTCGAGTCCGCCGACCGCTAAGAACTCGGAGTCGGGCGACGACCGGATGTCCGTCGCGTCGGCGCCGAGTCTATAGTTGGCGATGACTTTGGCGTCTTCTAAACGGATTAGTCTGTAATCATTGGATCAAATTAGACAATGAATGAGTGCAAAGAGTTTTGTGGCCATTGTATAGACACAAACCGAATGGTCTTTTTGATTGTGTGGTAATAATAGACGTAACGGTTGTCTGCCGTGAATCCAGTGATGACACGTATGACGCCCTCCGAAGTCTGCGGCAAAAGCACGCGAACA